CTAGTAGCATAGTGGCTAAGGCACTTGACTGTTAACCAGAAGGCTGGTGGTTCAAACCCACCAGCCACTCCTCGGAAGGAAGACTGGGCAATCTACTTTCATAGTGATACTGCCTTGGAAACCCAAGGAGGGGTCTCTATGAGTCGGATTCAACTCGATGGCAGAGTTTAGTTTGGCTTTTGTATGCCTATTTCAAGAAGCTCTGGTAGTGTAGTGCCTAAGGCACTTGACTGCTAACCAGAAGGCTGGCAGATAGGTATAAGATAATATAACCATTCCTGACTTAGTTCAGACTTTCTGGCTCCTGACCTCTCTCTCTAGCTGTCTTTTGTGGACCCTTTCTTTCCATCCCTCGCTCCAAAGGCAGGTCTTCCACAGAATTCTTTGTTTGGTCTTGTCCTCTTCTCTCTCTTGGGCAGTTACTTGTGTGGCTAATTGGCAAATCTATACATCACCCTCTCTCTTCAAGTTCTAGTTGCATAACTGCCTTCATAATATTCTCTGGGCATTTCAGACTCAGTATGTACAAATTGGAAATGTCCTTTCTCCTCTGATCCCTATTTCTGTAAATGGCACCATCTACCTCTTAGTTATCTGACCTGTAAAATCTTGGCATAATTTTTGTTTTCTTTAAAAAAATCTTTTTTCTCGCTTTTGATTACAAGGCAATACATGATTTTGGTGAACTTTCAAACACTATAGACTTTGAGATTTTGGAAAATGAAATTTATTTGTAATTTCATCCCTCAGTAATAACTCCAAACCAAACTCACTGCCGTGGAGTTGGATCCCACTCATAGTGACCCCTCCTTGGGTCTCCGAGGCAGTGTCTCTTCAGAAATAGATTGCCCAGTCTTTCTTCTGAGGAGCGGCTGGTGGGTTTGAACCACCAGCCTTCTGGTTAGCAGTCACATGCTTTAGGCACTAAGCCACTAGAGCTCCATCAGTAATAACTAGTGATAGGTTAATGTATGATGATCTAACTGGTGTTTTAAAAATTTAAAAAAATCACCATAAGCCACAGTATGAAATAAATTTACATCAGTACTAAGTTTAGATGTGTGTATGTACATTTGAAAAATACTTTCATAAAATAATATTTACTCTTACTATATGTGACTCATCATCCTAACATTTTCCATTCTAATCCTTTAAAAACAAATTTTAAATTGTTTTCATGTCCCACTAATAGCCTGGAAGCTGTGATTTGTGATACAGATTATTCTCTCATACTTTATTTCTTTGTGTATTTATTTTAATCATACTAAAACTTTTTTTTTTTTTTTGCTATTCTCTTTCCTGTTTGTAATCAAGTTGTGGCCTCTATCTAGATTTGTTGTCTATTCATTACCGTTTATGCAACTCTTCCCAATTGTAAAGAGTTGTGGCGAAATCTTGTAACTGTTGAATGTAGGAGATGGGTATATGGGAGTTCATTGTACCCAGGTTATGTGTATGCTAGAAAAGTTTAATACTTTTTAAAAGCTCATTACAAAACTGTAGTAACAAAAAAAAAAAAATCGATGTAAAAATCTTTCATTATGTGTCAAAGCAATATCCACGCAAAAGCTGAAAATCCTGTGGGTCCATCTTGGTTCACACTCCACAAGATTGAGTCCTGATCACTTTAAGAGTTGGCTTTAACTGTTGTTGTTGTTATGTGCCCTGGAGTCGGACCCGACTCATAGTGACCCCTCCTTGGGTTTCCTTGGTGGTATCACTATGGAAGTAGATTGCCCCATCTTCCTTCTGAGGAGTGGCTGGTGGGTTTGAACCGCCAGCCTTTTGGTTAGCACTCAAGTGCCTTAGGCATTATGCTACCAGAGCTTCTTGGCTTTAACTGGGTAATAGTTTTTCCAAACTAATAGAAGTTAAACCTAGCATCATATGACCATGAGTTTTTTTTTTTATTTTCCTCCTCGAAATGAAAAATCACTAGCTTTATCTCTATACCTCTTCCCCTTGATTAGTAACACAGTGATTTATCGCTTTTTTATAAGCTGTGTTTTACTGGTTTCCTGTGGATCACAATACCTATCTGCAATTGATCATGAGGATGGCGCAGGACCTGTCAGCTTTCCTTTGGTTGTACATGGGGTCGCCACAAGTCGGATGACTGGAAGGCAGCTAACAATTTACTGGTTTAAATCTCATTTGAGGCTTTCTAAATAGTTTCGGTAACCAGAAAAAAAAAAACCACCTCACTGCCTTCCAGTCGGATCCCATTCATAGCGACCCCTCCTTGGGTTTCCGAGGCTGTATCACTACAAAAGTAGATTGTCCAACCTTTCTTTTGAGGAGTTGCTGGTGGGTTTGAACCATTAGCCCTCTGGTTAGGAGTCACATGCTTTAGGCACTACATCACCAGAGCTCCCTGAGATTTCTTCTGGTGTCCTATGAGTTTGTGAAGGAAAAAAGGAAATGCTAAGGCGTATTAGATTAAAACCATCCAGCTTTGTGGGTGGAAACGTTGTGGCTAGGATCCCTTTGGAAAGCCAGCCTTTGCATGCTGGCGGAGGCCCCACGGTGGGACACTGGCAGGGTCAGATTACCCAATAAGCAAACTAAACACAAGCTTTTGTTTCTTGATCTGTAGTGAACAATTTAACATTTATTCATCATATCAAGGAGTCAGCTTCTAGGTAAGGCTGGCATCTGTCTCCAAACCAACCCCACAGCACCTTTCCCCCAAAACAAAGCTGCTTTCACATTATCAATCCTGACAAGGACGGAGTACCCAATAAGCAAAGTAAGCATATGCTTACGTAGTAATCTGTCCTCCTGCCGCCGGGGGCGCTATGCACTGCAGGGGCCGGCTGCAATGTTGTGGTGGCCGCTGCAGGCCTAGAAGGAGCCGGCTGCTGACAGGGCTAGGGGATCCGGCGACCGAGGCCGCGGCGCCGCGGCAATGGGTAAGGAGAGCGGGCCGGGAGCAGACGCTGGGCCCGCTGTCCTGGGCTGAAGGCCACGGCCTGGCGAGGAGACCCTGAAGGCACCAGGGTCGCCTGGACCGAACTGGGGCTTGGGGCGGGCGGAGGCAGCCTGGGACTCCGAGTCGTCATGGCAACGCGCGGCGGGCCCCTCTTTCCTTTCCTCCCCCGCTTCTCTTCTGGGGCCTAGTAGGAGAGGGCTCGCGATCCAACGGCTTCTAGGGATCAAGGGCAGGGCCCGCCGGGGTGCCGCTGCGGCGCCGGGGGAAGAGTCGGGCTTAAACGATGACTTTTCAGGTTTGGGGGTGGCGGAGGGCAGACATATCCCAGGTTCCGGCTTGGGTGCCCGACGCAGAGGGCGGGAGCTGGGGAGCAATGCAGCGCAAGACCCCGGGTGAGCCCTCCTCAAGGGTTCCGGTGGGGTCCCGAGGTCTTTGGGAGATCTTGTAAGGAGGGAGAGAAGCAAGCCGGGAAGGGGGGCCAGGCCCGGGCAAGATGCCAAACTGGCCTTTTGCCGGGTCACCCCGCGTACCTGCGGCGCGGCCTGTGGGCCGCGTTCAAGGAGAGACACATGGCAGACCCCGACCCAAACCCGGGTGCGGCAGCGGTGTAAATGCCTCCCGGCTTTGAAACTGCCAGCGCCTGGCAGGGTTCTGCAGTAGAGCAGCTGCAAAGCCTCCCTTTGTCTGGTTGTCGCATTGCACGTTAGGGATTGTGATGGGTACTGTTAAGAAAAATGAGAATTGCAACAGATTATGAAACACCAAGTGATTTCACTCCCAAAATAATAAGGAGTCATAGGACTATGCAGATTTGAAGAAATGATGTGTGTGGAGATTTTCCATTACACAGCTTGATTACAGACGTTGTAGCTGTTTGTCTTTTAAGATGCTTAGGATTCGCTGTCTGGGAGCTCTGGCAGCGTAGTGCCTAAGGCACTTGACTGCTAACCAGAAGGCTGGCGGTTCAAACTCACTAGCCACTACCTGGGAAGAAAGATGGGGCAATCTACTTCCGTACAGTGATACTGCCTCGGAAACCCAAGGAGGGGTCGCTATGAGTCGGGTCCGACTTGACGGCACATAACAACAACAACAAGATTCACTGTCAGGCTTTACGCTTTGCTATCTGAGGTCAGAACTAGAATACTAGATCATTGGGAACCGTGAATTTTTTGTTCAGTGAAGGAAAACTAGATGCTTTGCTTACTCGGACTAGTAAATTAATATAAAATTTCATAATGTTTGATAAAAGTCATTTTTCTGTACTTCAGTTTTGTCATCTGTGTTTGTTATGGTAACAGTGATGAGATTATGGGAAAGCATAAGAATTCCTAAGAAAAATTGATGGGAATGAAAAAAAAAGTGTGAATTGAAAAAATCAATTAAAAATAAAGTGGGTTTTGTTTTGTTTTAAGGTATCTGTTAGCTGGGTGTTCAAACTGAAACAGTGGGCATCATCAACTGTGTTGGTGGGCAGGGAACTAAATGTGAAACTGGTCCCTGCTTTTGTTTCTACTTGGATAATAAAGGAGTCATGCAACATAGAACTGTGTGTGTACTGTACTTTACACACCAGTAAGAATGACTGCAGTGAAAAACAAGGTAGAGAGTTAAAATGATTGAGTTAGGTGGCTTCTCATATATCCCCTATTTGTCAGAGTATTTTAATTTACCTGTCATGCTTGTTATAGATGATCTCAAATCTTAGAATTTTAACTACCTTTTAGTCTATTATCAGTTTATTCTGAGCATTTTTGCCTCAGAATTCATCCTTACACCAATGTTGCTATTAAACTTTTGCATGAGACCCTTAAACATGTTTTCTGTGACTCCAAATTTACCTCCATATAAAGTCATTAAAAAAAAAAAAACAAAAAACACCTCATTCTCTCTGAAGAGGTACCACAAAAGTAAAATAAATATAGGAGAATGGACAATTTCCAGCATCTTGAAAATAATAAACTTTGTCTGGAGCAGGCAAGGAAGTCTTCTATGGTATGTGTAAAAAGTTAATTAGGGGTATAGGTTAGTTGGGGAGCCAGTCAATATTTGTCAATCAAGGAAAAGCAAACTAATGTTGCTTTTATGGGGAAAGGAAAGAGTTTATGTTGTTTTCAATGTCATGTCTTGCAAATGATGTTGCACTCCTTTCTTGTGCTTTCAGCTACCAAAGACCCCACAGCAGTAGAGAGAGCAAACTTACTAAACATGGCTAAACTGAGTATCAAAGGCCTCATTGAATCTGCTCTCAGCTTTGGCCGCACGTTGGATTCCGACTACCCTCCCTTGCAGCAGTTCTTTGTTGTTATGGAACATTGTCTGAAACACGGTCTTAAAGGTATCATGAGATTTTAAAAATTAATTGACTTTAGGTACCTCGCCCTCCCTTGCCAACTTAAACATCCTTGAAAATATTTTATTTTTTTGAAACCGTAATTCCTGTTACTTTATGTTTAAATATATTGAGTGAGGTGATTGTGGGAGAAAATACCTTATTGCTTTATAGGAAAGGGACTACATTGATATTTTCTAGGGGATGGTCTTCAGAAGATGGTTAGTTGTTAGTGTATTGTAAAAAGCATATTTGATTTTTAAAGTTTTTCATTATACTAACTGAAATGCTTTTTATTTTCTAGGACAGTTACAGAAGCTTTTCTTTTTTTTTTTTTCCCTAATTTTAAACTTGGTGATTATTCCTAAAGGGAATCAGTGTCAGTCTTTTAGCCCCTTTTCTTCTCTACTATAAGTAAAATCATGCTATACATATTATTCTGTGACTTCCTTTTTTAAAAATTCAGTGGTGCTAAATGAATTTTTCATTTACATAAAGGCTGACCTCACAGTTTTAAGTGCTGCATGTTGCTGTTGTTGTTGTTATGTGCCATTGAGTTGGACCCAACTCATAGTGACCCCTCCTTGGGTTTCCGAGGCGGTATCACTATAGCAGTAGATTGCTCAACCTCCCTTCCGAGGAGTGGCTGGTGGATTTGAACCACCAGCCTTCTGCTTATCAGTCAAGTGCCTTAGGCACTACGCTACCAGTGCTGCATAGTTTTTCATAAATACTGTAATTTAACAGCCTCCTCTTAATGCACACTTGGGTTGTTTCAAGATTTTTTACTATTACAACTGTGCTATAAGAACAGTTTGGGTGTGTGTGTGTGTGTGTGTATGTGTGTGTGTGTGTGTGTGTATATATATATATAGGAGCTCTGGTAGCATAGTGGCTAAGGCACTTGACTGCTAACCAGAAGGCTGGCAGTTCAAACCCAACAGCCACTCCTTGGAAGGAAGGTAGGGCAAATACTACTTCCGTAGTGATACTGCCTCGGAAACCCAAGGAGGGGTCGCTATGAGTCAGGGCTGACTCGACGGCACATAACAACAACTAACAACAACAATATATATATATGCAGGATTTATGATTCCTAGGAGAGAAGACTGTATCAAAGGATATAGGCAACTGGCTTCTATGGAACCTTTGTGATTTATATATCCACCAACAGTGGATGAGCTCATTTGTTTCTTTATATCTTCACTCATTCTTGATATCAACAATCTCTAAATACTTCTTTTAATATATCAAGAAGTCACCAGTCTGATCTTAGGCCCTGATTGCTTTTTTTTAAAAATGGCTTTTTGAAAATTTTTAAACTTTTAAAACAACAGTGATATAGAGCTATATTTCCCGCCTGCCCACTGAAGTGGAATTTGCCAGATCATGGCCAAAATAGTTCAATTTTAAACTCTTTTCTGACTTTATTATCTCCACAAAATACAGTGAAGCATGTCCCAGTTATCATAGGCTTATCTTGATGAATCATTATGAAGTTACTTTGTGCTGATTGATTTTCTCCTCTAGGGAAAATTTGCCTGTCTTGGTATCTGCAGGAGATCTAATCATTATAAAGAAATAAATATGTAGACATATCATGTTTACATACTACATAAATCTCAAATAAAATAAAAGGAAAAATGAAGTCATAGTTTTTCATTTTTAAAAGTAAGAAAACTTTTTATTTGTCCTTGGTTTATTTAATACACTTATAAAAATCAATTGGCTAAGGTCAGCAGCCTTTTTATTTTGGTGACTGGTAAAGAATGAGCTCAGAAAATTTTTTTTATTTTAATTACCTGTTTTTCATGGATTCTTAGTTCTAGAAAATTGTCCAAGTTGCATATTTTGGATGTGGAAAAACATCCGGATGGGCAACAGGGTCCTGATGAACAGGTGTCTGTTCAATAACAATGTCATGATTAAAGATGGGAATAATTGGGTGTTAAGTTAGATTATCTAGATATAGATATGTGTTAGGAGCTCTGGTGGCGGAGTGCCTGAGCATTTGACTGCTAACCAGAAGGCTGGCGGTTCAAGCCTATTAGCTACTCCTCGGAAGGAAAGTTGGGCAATCTACTTCCGTAGTGATACTGCTTTGGAAACCCAACGAGGGGTTGCTATGAGTCGGATCCAACTCAATGACAGTGAGTTTGGGGTTTTTTTTTGGTATATATATATATATGTGTGTGTGTGTGTGTGTGTGTGTGTGTTAGATACATATACATATATATGTGTTAGAAAAGTTAAAACAAGATTTTAAAAATGAAATTACAACAATTTATGTATTGTGTATTATATTTTATTTTTCAGTAAGAAAATCATTTTTGAGTTATAACAAAACCATCTGGGGCCCTTTGGAACTAGTGGAGAAGCTATACCCAGAAGCAGAGGAAATAGGAGCCAGTGTCCGGGATTTACCAGGTCTTAAGTAAGTAAGGTTACTGCTTGTTCCTCTCTAGACATACAAGTGCATTTACTGTTCCTCTAGGTACCTGACACTGTAGTTTATAATCTTCTTCAGCCTTAAGTAAGGAACTCCAGGGGTATAGTGGTTAAGGCATTTGGCTGTTAACCAGAAGGTCAGTGATTTGAACCTACCAGTTGCTCCCCAAAGAACAGATAAGGCAGTCTGTTTTGTGATTTACAGTCTTGGAAACCCAGTGGAAGTCGCTATGAGTTGCAATCAATTCTATGGCAGTGAGTTTGGTTTTTTGGTTTTTCAGCCTTAATATCTGTACCCTTCTTCCATTCTCTCTCTTAATAAAATTCTACTCATTCTTTATGGTGCAGCTTAAATTCCTTTATGAAGCTTTTCTTGGATGCTTTCAATAGGAATGAACTACTCTTTCTTTTATGCCCTTATCATTATATTTCTCCCTTTATTTATGTCACTTTCTTGAATTCTGCCTTGTATTTGAGGAAATTTCAAGTCCCTTTTTACATTGGATGTATGAATTATGCATCTCTGTTTCCTTAGTGTTAGGCTAATTTGTACTAGCTAGTTAAGCTTCACAGTCAATTACTGTTTGTTAAACACTGAATTAGGCTGAATCTAGGGCTACAGCTTGGGAGATTTGAGTTCTCAGGTAGGACTTGTGCAAATTACTTTTCTTCCTCGGAAAATTGGGTCTTATAATGCCACGTGTCTGTTTCACCAGACTAATGTATGTGTTCTGAATGCTAAAAGCTGGAGTGTTGTACTAAGGTTGAAGATTTTTGGCAAGCACAGAGTTGTTATTCTTCTGGGTATGATTAAGGTATAAGCACTCCCTTTATTTTAATTCTTGTGACTGAGACTAGTTAGAAATGCTTAGCATTTTCTGTCAGATTATCACTTTGCTTTCTATCAGCCGACTATTAGATAGTTAAGAGACAGGTTTTATATGGATAAAGGGAAAAGCAATATAACAAAAACATATGACTAATATCCATTTAAATCTTAAGCCATGAGAATTTAGCTGCTGGAAGCAAAAAGTTTCTTCCCGCACCACCAGTCAAAGTGTTCTCTGCATTAACAATAAAAAAAAAAAATGTGAATGATATCTTTCTCTTTTGAGAATAATGCATATTTTATAAAACTTGTGTTTATTTTCACTAAATGATCGAGCTTGGTTAAGACAGGCATGCACTTTAATTTCGTCAGTGCGGCTGGATAAAAGAAACATTTGAAAAACAGTAGCATGATGATTTTCTATTTAAGTAATTATCAACCTGGTACCTTAGCTTTGTTAAAGTTTTTAAAATTCAGATTTGGTGCTAGTTACTCTTTGGGGGCATTATATTGTTTTATTAATGCATTTGCATATTTATTTTAGGGGGCTGAACCCATTCTCACAAAGTGTTTCTTGTAGAAATATTCTATTTAGGGAGTCATGTTTGTATAAAATTGTACCTAGGTGTCTTGTATGTGCAGATTTACATTAGATGGTAAGGTAGCTCCTGGGAGTTGGTTTGCATGGTAAAGGAACTGGCTTAAAACCATAAAAATGGAAACATAACTATGATTAATTGCCTTTTTCTTTATTAATGTGTAACTCAACAGAAATAGGACATTCAGTCTTTAATCTTTGGGGCTGGAACTATTTTCTAACTGGTTATTCTTTCCAGGACTCCCCTGGGTCGTGCGAGGGCATGGCTTCGATTGGCCCTCATGCAAAAAAAAATGGCTGATTATCTGCGTTGCTTAATTATTCAGAGGGATCTCTTGAGGTTAGTACCATTAAACCATGTTCATTTTTATTTTTATCTCATTTATATCCTGTCTTCCAAAAAAGATTGAAGGTGTAGCACAAAAGAATATATAAAATACAGAAATATCACATAAAATAAGAGGAGGAACAAAGCGAGAAAGAAGAACATGGTAGAATGTAACATGGATCAGGAACTAACCTAAAGAATGAACACTGTAAGCTTCTAACAGCCAAGAAGAAGAAATTTAGATATTTTATATTTTTTAATTTAATTTCTAAGAATTATAATATCATTATATGAATAAAAATTTGTATTGGAATTTGAGGAGTTTCAGTTACAAAGTTTCTTTTTAGATCTTGAATGTCCAAACTACTGCATCAGTTGTATTTTGAGTACTATTTTAGTCATCAGTTTAAATTGAAGGCCAAATGTTTGAGACAGAATTTCAGGGCAAGGCAGTCAGTCCTCAAAGAAAATGGTCCCATGGTGGCCCTTCATTCATTGTTCTCTTAATGTGCCTGTCTGTGTTCTGGAGAATGTTGTTCTGTTTTTGGCTGAACTGGTGACTCTGGTTTTATATCTTGGTTTTCTCTCTCGGTGAAAGGGAATGACCATACCTTAAATACCTGCAGTTTCTCAATGATATTCTAAAGGTTCACTGAAGTATGAATACTACACATGAAACATGTTGTGGAAGCCATGAGATCGTGAAAACCATTTCTCTGAATTTAAATTGAGAAATCTGGACTGTCCTATTTCTTTCAAAAGTTTGAACATTTTTTTGGAATATAAATATCTTTAGTTGATGGTTAAATCTCTTACAGACATTTTTGATACTGCAAAAACGGCAAGGAGGCCACATGTTCTGACCTCCTCTAATCTCACAAGAGGAAGACAGCAGTAACCCAAGGCCTATTACTGCAAGGCCAAACATGCTGCCTCCCTCCAGCCCTTTCACCAACCGTTCCTCCCAAAGCACCCACCACCTC